ATTTTTCAGAAAAATTGAATAACTTTTGAACCATCATCAATTTTATAACAGCATATACCTTTAGTTTGATTACAAAATGACCCCCCCTACCACCCCACCTCTTTCGATCCAATACTTATGGGACACCCTGTATATGATTTTATCCAGGAACGCATATAATAATTGAGAGCGGCGTTCTTAAAACTGTGCTTCAGGTGGTCGATCTCTCGAGTATCGATCCGAATCAATCTGTTACAAGAGTGTGGACAATTATTGACATCAGTATTTGAGAATCTGGAAATCTGAACGAAAATCAACTTGACACTTCAGTGAGTAAATAAAAATTTTTACGACCAACAAGCGAGTTTTGAAATTGGTTGATGCACCTGCGCAGTACCTATGTATCGTCGTCAGAACAGCATGCCTTTGATCTTTGTATTGGTGTCTTGAAAGGAAGTATATGTCTATACTCGTTATAGATTTTATCAGAGCTGGCTTTTTTGTTTGTGTTTGGTGTATTGTGCATAATGTGTATTTTTGTTGATGATTTCCACTATTTCTGTTTCTTGTCTCACTGCATATTGTAGTAACAGCGATGTTATTTGGTATGTTTCAAATTATCCAAGGCGGCCAGGTTCGATATATGCACTACACATACTGGTCAATCAACTTTTCCAGTGGCAATGATATCAATACGCGAATGGTTCTGTTTGTTGCAATTTCGTTGAAGAAATGGATTTTTTTCGAAAAACATTCTAGAAAGTTATGCATCAATAGTGTAGTTTACATTTTTCCTAAATTTCGATACCTATACGCTGAGTAGCTATACATTTTCCAACAAAGTTATCTTATACAACCGAAACTATTGAAATTAAATTAAGTACCTATACAAAAAAATTATACTTCATACTTCAAGAATATTTTGTTCTATGTTTCGTAGCTTTGCAGAGATTTCTAAAGAACACAGCTAGTAATTTAACACCACTAGCGACAATCTCGCATTGCGGACGATTCTAGAACTCTCTCTACGTAGAGTCGTTCCCAATTATTTTGCCATATTTTTATAATATATTTTTGATTTCATTACTAAAATTTACGCACACAAACAGTTTCACAATTTCTTAAATATAAAATCATGGACCTGACATTTTCATTCCACAGAACTTTGGCATAGTTAGACTTGATAAAAAAATCACCTTCGAAGTAAAGTATAAGATAATCTTCTACCTGTCTATCATTCAGATATACATTAACTGTGAGGCAATCTATAGTTGTCAATTTTTGGGATCGAATACCATAGCAATGAATACTAAATGAAGTGGGTACTCTAACAAATATTTAAAACTTAGATTTGAATGATCAACGATGAACCAAAAAATGTTAACGAAAAGTAGTACTTGAATTCTGCTAATTTTTACAATTATCGCACCCCAAATCTTTTTTGGCCAATTAAACTAACATAATAATACAAAATTACCCTGATTCAAATTATTATACAGTTTTGAGATTACAAAAAATTGTATTATACAAGTACTACTATTCTCATGCGACCTATTAATCAGAATAACACTGAATTTTGGAAAATCATCAGGCATATAGTGAAAAGACATCAACAAAATTGGTTAATCTGAATTTGACTATTCCCTACTAGGTAAATATATGCCTCCTTGAGGATATATATGACTCATACGTTATACAAGTAAGGAGTAGTCAAACTGAGTCTTATGGACCTATCCCAACTAGCAATTCATCTTATATACTTGAAGGTTAGAATTTCATGGAACTGTTGAAATCGTAAAGGGCGGTTAAATACGATTATAAAATGTATGTACTACCGAAAAAGGCTCCATATGTCTTTATAAAGGTGAATAATCCTATGAATATGTTACACAACCTAGTAATAAAATAAATATGATGAATACTTTCGAAAATACGTACTATAAACCCAATGTATAGAAGTTTTGTGGAAAAAGAAAATATAATTCTCAATCTAAGAGTTGGATTTTGAATTTAAACACATTACATTGATGTAGCTAGCCGCTCTACGTTTGCAAATGATATCTGATTGATTGATAAACAGCTGTTTCGTCAAATATATACGTGTATAGCATAATATTATACAACGCTGTTATTCTATTCAGAACAGCAGAACACTATACGATCATGCAGTTCTATAATAGTTTATATAGGCATTATAAGATACCTCCATTGCGTAATGTTTCCCCTGATGAACTTGAAAACGACATTTTGGAAATAATTTTGTTTTATAATCTATGCTGTGAGAACGTAATACAACAATCTTATAGATACATAATTTCATAACATGAAATTGGTTTAGGTATTATTATAGTACGCAGTAAAGAATGAAAACAGTTTTTCAATTGGCATTGGAATACTTAGTAATTATAGGATTATCCACTTCTTTAGGAGTTCTGCTTTGCTAGTTGGGATGTACTTGTAGATTATTTTTATATAGTATGTGGCATACGAATAATGTCAGTGGTAACAAAATTCTTGCATATATTGGAAACAACTTCGTTTACTTTTCCCAAACCAGTGATTCTGTTTATTACTCATAAATTGTAGTGGCTATATAGCGAAACAGGTAAAGTCATCTGTTGATATGAAGTATATAGTTGTGCCATTTTATCGTTGACGTTTTAGTTTTTTTTTTCAAATAACACTTAATGTATCACTAAGCACTCACTTAATATTTTGGCAGTCGAACAACCTTCCACAAAACTAAAATATGGTGTTCTATTTGCTTGTTGTAAGTTTGCTACAAGATCAGTTCAACAATATTTTGCTACATTCCAAAGAAAACTACAGAATCTCACATTTAACAATATTTTTTATATAATTATTCTATTAGTCTGTATGTAACTCTAAATTGCATTGTTAAGTAAACTGAAATTGATAATAAAGAGTGTATATAGAAATAATATAGCTAATACATGACTGCTGGGCTGATTTACAAGTATATTCAACATAATTATCGTTTTCAGCAGTATCTCTTCCATAAAGTCACAGTATTGATTGAGAAGATTGCCTGCTGGAATGTCTTAAGAATTCTCTATTATTTTCCGTATATATACTGATAACCTGTTCATTCGCATGGACGGAAAGATAAAATAAATATTCAAGTATGCCAATAATTGTCTATTGGATAGTACGTGATGCTATATATCGATTATCATCTTACATTTCATTCCATAAGACTTTGGAGTGAGATGTTTATAATTCCTCTGATATGCCCACTCTTCAATTGTTTCGTCAGACTAGCTCTCGATATGAACAATTGAATGCGAGTTCGGAACGTTGGGTTCTCATATTCAATAATAGATGGCGTGAACGATGGACAATTCCTTGGAAAATTTCAAAATGTATTTCATTGAAAGTCGAAAATGTTAACGCACCGTTTCAATTTAAACAAAAAATTGTGAAAATGTAAATGTGAGCTCAAATGAATGTGTCATGATGCCTGTAACTTTGGTTTGAAACTTCGAAAATTTAGCAAGATTCTCCCACGCTTCGCTATTTTTACAAAGTAGGCGATATCAAGTTCGCAATGTTGATTTTTTTTTAGACGTTCAATCACCTATATCAGATGATGCGATACAAACAATTTGCTGAATATTGAATAATTAAGGAATAGTTACCAAAGTCCTATGGACTGATCATTTCATCAATCAATTAGTGTGTTCGAAACCAAATGAATCAGATTATCAGTAGATATTATTCCAATCTTGCCAGTTGATGACGTGGTCATCAAGACATACTAAATTTTATTCAGGTCCTACTTTGGATCAATTATCAATTAGTCATAAGATAGTTAATGGCATGGAAAAAACGAATCTATAAATAAATAAAATTCAGTAAATATATTTTGAACATCAACAATAAATATATAATGGTATTTTTATATACTTTGCAACAGCCACTTTTATAAATGAGAGTCAGCTAATACCAAACTTGTTTCAAAATTGTCGACTAATGGTATACGAAAATTATTTTTCTGTCCGTTGCCTTACAAAAATACCGAATAATTGACAAATGCCGGTATTTTTCTGACTTCTCATTAAATGCAGCCCTAGACAAATTCTATGTGCTTCAATATCTTTATTTTTTTCTAAAAAATACCAAATAGCCAACTTGATCTGTCTGTGTAGCAAAGAGAAAAAATGAACATGCCTTGCAATGAAAATCAACTTTCAGAAATTAATATTTTGAAGGCGCGTGTGTCGTCTCCTGGCACGTGGTAATTTCTGTACAAATACATACAATACTTTGGTACAATTATCAACAATTTATAATTAAAAACATGTCTTTACAAAAATACAAAAAGTTACACACAGTTAAATTCTTGAAAGTAATTAAAATATGTTGTGCGTTTTTTATTTTTAAGTATGTAGGTATTATAATTATTATCATGAAATTATATTTTCTCATTTTGTCAAGAATATATCGACAAGCTTTCTAGTGATACCTACATTTTATGACAGTATCACTTAGGTACTATGTATTTCACGATACATTCTGAAATTACGCAAGACATAAACGTCCATTTGTGAGAAGTAGGTAAAAGTGTTTACATGTTGAACACATTTCGACATTAAAATCATGTGAGCTTCACTGTAGTTCAATAAAATAATCTGCTGATCGGAATGTATAATATATTCAGATTTACGAAAACGAGAATACTTATCTTGCCTTTTCATCACCATCAGTCACTACAATAGTGAAACCATTGACCATTCATAGTCAGTAGGAGAACGAAAAATACTGAAATCAATTCATTAGAAATATTCCAGGCCAAACAAGAGCTGGGAAGCATTGTTCATCTGGTTCGATAAAGTAATTTTTTATTTATGAATCAATATACCTGTGCTATGAGTAAGCAAATAACACATCTCATAGGCTCTTGTATAGACATGTAGGGCAGACATACTTAGAGAAAAATGTCAATTAATGGTAGTCTGATTTCCCGTGTTTTCTTGTTTGATTTTTCAGGGTGTAGGGGTATTTCATCAGCACGAATTACTATACGGTGAAAGAAAGTAGAGGGAGACGAACATTTTTCATAGCTGAATAAATAGCTATAATTTATAAATCTTTTTATAAATGAAAATTATCTGATCTGCCGGGAGTATATTAATTTTCTATCATCGTGAAAACCGTTTCAAATATTGACACTACCAGTTAATTTTATGTTCATGCCTGGAAGCAATATGAAATATAATTTTTTGATAATATAAAATTTTGTCAATATACCAAACTGTTGATATTGATTGATAACCTCTGAAGCCAACACGATTAGTACCTAGAAAATTCATAATCGAAATCGCAGAAATAAATATATATATTTATTGTTGGGTGTGCATCTATCAATTGCATTTCACTATTCAGCATTTAGAAGACATGACAAAACTGTTAGCTAGTTGATGAGGTCAACTTTAAAGAATTGATGGCTCTTTCATTATAAGAGCCAAGAGCCACTAGCTTATTGAACTCACGGAGACTCAAATAATATTTCAGTAGATTTCAATGGCAATGAAAACGCTTGGGATATGTCTTCATTACAATTCCGACCACCAGAATACCTGGTATCAATCCAAAAAGTAACATTGAGCAACGTTTGCGTCACCACAGACAGACCTTCGTAGGCCACCAGGTATATAAGAACACATATCACCTAAATCTCCTACAAATTCTATAAGCACGAATGTCTCCGTTCTTTTAAAAACCAGCACATCGTCGTCCGAACACTGTACTCGCACATAACCAACAATAAAGAAATCAGTCTCTCTGTCTGCACGAACGCTATCCACGCTGTCCATAGGAGCAGCGCTTTGTTAAAAGTCCGCGCGGGGGCGCCACCAGGCAGGGCGGCCGACGACGGGGCGGCAGGCTGCCCGGGGCAGTGTTCGCACACGGCAAGAACGTCCCGGTGCCGGCTGCCCACTTCGATGTATCGCTGCAAATGGCCGCCCCTGCCTGCCGAACCGCAGTGCGTGTAGCAACAGTCTTCGTCGCCTCGGGAGGATTTCAGCCGCTGCTCGCCCGTCTCAGGAATGTTCGGATCTGAAAAATGTTTGCATACGTTGTATATTTCGAGTTTCAATAGTATTAAACCCTTATAGTTTGATATCTCAGCTATCTTTGGGGATAAAACCTTGCGGTTTCGCGGTCCTACGCCACTTCTTTGTGAAACTCAGTTTATTTATACCGATTGGGTATTAAAAGTGATCTCAAACCTCCGACAACAACCATCAGAAGGAGTTACAATGATGGGTCGATTCAAAACTTTCTTAGTGATCTTTCAAAGGAAAATTGGGAAGATGTTTATACTCTAAATAATGTAGATGATGCATTTTCGAATTTTCACACTGCTTTTGGTCACTACTTCAATGTATTTTTCCCCTTACGCAGTTATTACTCAAATAACTTAACAAATAAACACTGGGTGGATGATAATATCAAGTTATCAAGTAATTATTTGAAACAACTATACTTTTTGCGAAAATGCTCTTGTGATTATGAAGATATTTATAGAGAAGCCAAGAAGCAACATAGTCAACTCATAAACAATACAAAGAAGGCATATTACCAAAATACTATAACAAGATCCAATAACCAAACCCGAACGGCATGGAAAATCATATCAGAGGTCACGAATAAGTCGAAAACAAAAAATGAAAATATTGAAATAATAAAAAATTAAGTTCTTCATTCAGACCCCCAGCAAATCGCGAATATTTTCAACGACTTTTTCATTTCAGCGCCTCTTGAGTTAATCAATAAAATTCCTCCTGTGAGTACTCCAGCAACAGAAAACATCACCCCCAATAATTCTTCACTATACTTAGAGCCCTTTTCTCCAGAGGATTTACTAATCTTGCTAAACAACAAAATTAAAAATAAAAAATCGGCTGGGCCCGACGAAATTCCGAATTTTTTTAATCAAGTTATATTATTCTTCCGATCACGTATTTGGTAAATTTGTCATTCGAAACGGGACGCTTTCGGCAAATGCTGAAAATCGGAAAAATTATTCCAGTTCACAAAAAAAATGATACTCGACAGCTCAGTAATTATCGACCAATTACTGTCCCGAGTAGCATTTCCAAAATATTAGAATATGCTTTTCTTGACAGATTAGAGAAGTTTTTGAAAAAATTCAAAATTGTAAGTGCACAACAACATGGTTTTCGCCCTGGTATGTCTACCAACACGGGGCTATACAGTCCTTCTATTCAGAAATATTGAAATTGATCGAGGCCGGCGAAAGTCCGGCGGGTATTTTTTGTGATCTTAGTCGGGCTTTTGACTGTGTCGATCATGCAAAACTACTAGAAAAACTATATTCCTACGGTTTGAGGGGCATACCTCTAGATTGGTTAGCATCTTTCTTGAGAAATCGCGAGCAATATGTGAGCATAAAATATAAAAATCAGAATAAATTAGAAAATGCATCATCTTCTTATTCAGAAGTCACTTTAGGTGTCCCACAAGGTTCTATCTTAGGCCCTATACTATTTCTTCTCTACATTAATGAAATTGTGGTACAATATTTCCTAGGATTCATTTCACATTATATGCTGATGATATATCATTGATTATTTCGAACAAATCCAATAATATCCTACAAAATGAATGTGAATTTATATTAGAGTCTTTGATGAGATGGTTTTCGTCGAATAAATTATATCATTCAATCCAGATAAAACATCTATCGTCAGATTTCAGACAGCTCAACGTCACAGCAGTGAGGATTTCATTATCGAACTGTCTAGTCAACAACTTGTAACCAGCGATACTGTGAAATTTCTGGGTATTGAACTAGATAAGAATTTAAATTTCAAGACACATTGTGAATCATTAACATCTAAACTTAACTCATTCTATTACTTGATATACAATTTGAAGACTATTTTGACTCATGAACAATTGATGAACTTTTACTATGCACAGGTGGAATCTCGTTCGAGATATGGAATTAACTTCTGGGGCAATTCCATACATTCTAAGAACATATTCATTGCACAAAAACGAATTGTAAGGTGCTTAACAGGAAAACCAAGACAACACTCTTGCAGAGATCTTTTCAAAAAACTGAACATATTAACTCTGACTGGATTATTCATTTTTGAGATATGTTTATTTGTCCATAGAAATAGAGAAGTTACACCGAAAAATTATGATACGCACAATTTCAATACGAGACAAAAAAATAACTTGCGGATACCCTTTGCCAGATTGAATATTACCAGTTCATCGCCAAACTTTATTGGGCCAAGATTATTCAACAAATTACCTGAATCAATAAAAAACTGTGAAAAGGAAATAGAATTCAAAAAACAAATTAAAATATTTTTAGTTGGCAATGTTTTTTATACTGTGAACGAGTTTTTGTGTACGTAATATTCCTATTTGTCATATACACTCATTAGTATGTAAGTTTTTTAGTTTTTTTTTTCTTCTTTTAGTTCGTAAGTTTCATATATTTCTTAGTATCTTCGACTATTCCTATACAATGTATGTTGTCAGTTATGGAAAATGAATGATTTGATTGAGTTTCCATTTATGAGATACAGGATGATTTTGAAAATTTACATCTTAAGCCCCCCTCTATATCAACAAAGTTTCTCTACTAAAATGTCAAATTGAAGACCTCGCTGCAAGAACCGGGCAACTCCAATATTTTAAAACGTTGGGGAATGGAAAAAACTAAATATTTTTGAGATACTTGAAAAAAATTATGCTAAATGGTTAGAGTTACGTTAGATAATCTGTATTAAATTATAAAGTAATTTTCATTTACAATGCAGAAGCTAAAAAAGAAGTTTGAAAAAATGGAGTTGCCTGTTTCTTGCCCCAAAAAGACAACAGTCTGAAAATATAGTCAAACTCGTGTAATAATTTCGCATTTTTATTGAAAATAAAATATATAACGAAAAATATAGTGAAGAAATAGTATTTTGAACATAGAAAGAATCGCTGACGTTTCCTGCGTCTTGATCTTCGTAAACATTGCCAGACTTTGGGTCCTCTTCATGAACAGCTATGTTTTTGGAACATATTCACTCCCCGAATCTTGAAAGGGCTCACTTCCACTTTCCGACGACATTACATTGTATTTCATGAAACAAATGATCAAACTAATCATGCCACACACGATGGAAGACGCGGGAAGGCTTGCCGCTAATAACCTCACTCCGACATCTCCCACTACACGCGTACATTTAGGTGCTAAAATCGGGTAACTCCTGGAGTTGCTCGACTCTAGCACCGTCATGGCTTACATTTCAGTTCTGAAATCGGATAACTCCTGGAGTTTCCCGACTCTTGCACATCAATGGCTTATCAGGTAAATCATTTCGCGTGTTAACTTAATAGGAAATTGTTGGATTCGCTTGATTCTTGCACCAAAAGATGCGCAAGTTAAAATGTTAAATACAATAACCCAATTTGTTGTTGTTGCCCGGTTCTTGCACCGAGGTAGAATCTTATCCCGTAGAGAGTTTTACGCAGAATCTAGTGGCGCACCAAAGTTTTTTTGGGGTATGGTTTTGGAGATACAACTCAAACTTATGATTTTTTTAATGGAACACCCAATCCAATTGCATTCCTTATTTTAATAAAAAGTTCATAATGTAGGAAGCCGCGAAACCCGCAAGGTTCTATCTCCAAAGATAACTGAGATATCGAACAAAAGCAAAAACTGTAAACACTGTACAGGGTGAACAAGCAGGAATGAGACAATCAGAGCTCCATATGGAGGAACCTTCAAGAAGGCACACGGAAGAGATTCTGTCACTTAACAGAAGAGATCTCAAGATGGTAGTTGGGCTCTTAACTCGACACAACCAACAGGCATCTGAAGAGATCTCAAGATGGTAGTTGGGCTCCTAGCTCGACACAACCAACAGGCATCTGGAGCTCATAGGAATCAAAGATAATTTCATCTATAGATGATGAATCAGAGAGGACTGCTGCCTTTAGGAGCCCTGAACTGCATTCAAAGGATATGAAAGTGATTCAGCTGAGGAATATGTTGGATTTAGTCAAAGAAATTGGCATTCCCAGCTGATTCACATGCCATGTTAGCGCACAATGGGCTCGACTGAAGAGGCATGAATGAAAGGGTCTATGTACTTGCCCATTCGTCCAGAGAAGAAAAAGAATACTCCTGAAACATTTTTTTTTTAATCTGGAAGGTAATGGGAGGCCCCTATCCACTATTGGAGGGTTATCTACTATTTACAGGACACCCTGTATAAAGAAGAGAATCCTTTCAATAAACATTATTATTGTGTGAAATGCATCACCCTTTGATTTGATGGCCGGTACAATACTGAATCGTGAAATCTCAGCGGAATCATAGTAGGTGTTGTAAGGACAAGCCGAGGGGATTGGAAGATGGCGGTGACCCGTTTCTAAGCCCTTGATATCCTTCGTGTACGAATTTGCTAGCAGGGGTTGGCAGTTCATGTTTGCGTGGGAAATCGATTGGAGAAAAAAGTATTCAGATTCAGGTTCACCCTACCCACTTATATTAAATATTGTACCCTCAAGTCGATAGATCGGAAAGTTGAATTTCAAATTGTGTTCTGTTGGTACTATGTGTGGTTTTTGCCAGTTGATATTTATTTTCGTCAATTTCTAGTAGTAGTAAAACAATAGAGTTCCGTTTAATCTGTTTATATTATGGCAAAGAAATTTTGTCGTACATATAAACAGTATTGGAATTTAAGATCGCAGCGCGATTGTGTAACTATATGAAAGTACATTGTTTTGAAATGGTTCATTTGCTCGTGTGTATTATTTCGAATTCTTGGTAGTGATTTAAGGAAAGAAAACTTCACTTTTGACCGTTTATTTGTGTAGTCTTGTGATTCGATGAAGCTTTTCAGCAAATATTCATTCAATAAAGTATGTTTCACTAGTTCAAATACTAGAGGTTTACGTTAGTTTGCATTTCGTTCCATTCAGTAGTAAAATATGTATTGCAAAATGAATGGACTGTATATGATGTTGAAGTTCACAAAGTAGGTATATTTGAGATGTATGTATTGTATTCT